ACGCCACCGCCTCGCAGCCCCCGAGGTCGCGAGCGCCGGGCGCAGCGGTCCAACGAGACATGGCCCGCGGCATTGCAGTCACTTGTTTCGCGTGGCCGCCCTCAGGCCCAAGGGGTTCCCCGCCCCGGGTCGCGCCCGCCAGCTCCTCGCAGACGCCGCGCGGCAGCCGCGTTTCACCCGCGGCTGATGCCGACCAGTCAGGCACCCGCGATGGCACCGACCCCGCCAAGCGCGCCACCTCCTTCATCGATGCTGGCCACGGCGCCCTCGGAGCACTCAGCTGCGAGCCGAGCTCGACGATGGGATGCGTGAGATTCGCGCGCAATGCGCATCGCGCGGATCTGGCGCCTGGACAGGAATTCCGTCGCGCCACGTTCAGCGTTCCACGCGATGGGCCCTGAGCTCCGCGGTGGATCTACCGTTCCGTTCTGGACCAGGGCGGAGACCACGGTGCCCATCGGCCCCCGAAGGCACGCCGCGATGGTGGCTGGCAAGGGCAAGGGCAAGGGCACGCATAAGAGCGAGCCCGCGCCTGGCGACGCCGCTGCCCTCCCCGAGAAGAGGAAAACCCGCTGGGCTGGGGAGAAGGTCGAACGTCGGCGCACCGGCGCGGCCCTCCTCGCGGCCAGCGAACCGCAGCGGCCGCCCTCGCCCAGGGGCAGTGCCGGATACGGTGGTCGTGATCGGAGCGCGCCCGACAAGTCGTGAGGCGATCGTGTTGTAATAGTGTGCACATCCCTCACGCTCTATCTCCATCCATCACCTTCTCCCCCACCGACCAGGTCATGGCACTGCACCTCCACTTCTCCACTCACCTAATCCAGCGTCCATCATCTTGCTTGAGTCTCTGGACAGGCTTGCAGACGCCATGTCTGCGGCTCGAGGTCAGCAGCGTCACGCAATGCGGCACACCATCGTGCCGCTCTGAAGAGTGCGAGCGAGTTCGCCAGTGAAGTGGATGAGTTCGCGCCCCCGCGCGCGCGCCCGTCAGACCAGACAGCGTCGGCGCTCCCCTGCCGAGTCTAGAATGTATTTGGGGTTGGACAGTTATGATTCCCTTCTTCGTATTGTTTTTCTTCTCCGCGAAAGCTGTTCCATCGCCCGCACAATCCCGACTCAAATAGGACAGGTCGCCGCTGTTTGGCCCGAGCGTTGACGTATATCTACTCCTTGTATGATGAGTAAACGCCCCGCGATCTACATTGTATTGCCGCCGTGCGCTCTTCCATGCAGCGTCCAAACCCCGCAATTAGTTCCTCCTCCTTCTCCTCTGCCTCTTCTCCCCGTCGTGCCGCATGATATGCTGCCGTGGCTGCATCGCGCCGGCCGGTGCGTTTTGGCAGGAGGCCGCTGCCAGCTGTCCTGCCCAGGCCTGGTTGCCTCCTGGGTGGCTGGGACAACCCTTCGTCCCCCCTCCCGCGGGGAAGAGCGATGCGGGGAAGAACGATACCTATATATACACACATGCTCACACACGTATATGGATATATATATATAAGAGAGAGAGAGAGAGAGAGAGAGATAGAGAGAGAGAGAGGAACAATAACAAAGGAGCGAGATAACGAAATAATTAGCGAGCGCGTTAACGAGAGAAAGAGGGGCAACCCGAGGGAAACGGGGATGGCGAAGGGGAGATGAGCAGAACAAGAAAGAGCGAGAGAGATAGAGGGGGAGCGAGATAATGATAAAGAGACAGAGGGATACATATATATATATATATAGAGAAATTCCACAACACTGTGTAAACAACACACGATACATACATATATATACACAAAGGTTGCAGGCATAAAGGGATACATATACACACATACATATATAGAGAGAGAGAGAGATAGAAACAAAGCGGGAGATAGAGAAACATTGACAGACAACACAATTATACATAAAGAGAGAGAACGGGATAGAGAGAGAGATAACGAGAGAAACCTAATGAGAGAAGGAATCCAAACACAAACACATTTACAGAGGGAGAGAGTGAGGTATGGCCATGTAGCGAGAGAGAGAGAGAGAGAGCGAGACAGAGATAGAGAGAGGTGCGGCGAGGGAAGAGGAGGATGACCAATGATGTATGGAGGAGGAGCTGGGACGAGGACCTTGGGACGAGGAGCCAGGAAGAGGGACGAACTAAGAGGTGGCGTGGGAGTTGGGGGCGTGGCCAGGAGGAGGATACTGAGGAGGAGAAGGACGCAGCCAGGAGAGAAGCGAGGTAGGAGGTACCAGCGGGGAGGGGGGGGGGTCGGCCGTCGTCGTCGCGCGGAGGGCGGGGCGTGGCGGGGCGGGGCGGGCCCTGGCCCGTCGGTCACGCCTGCACGCGAAGCTGCCCCTTTCTGTGACCTGGCGCGGCTCGGTGACGGATGTGTCCTTCAGGCGGGACATACAGTCGAGACGCTGGCATCATGACCGCTCTGGGCTCAGGAAGAGCTCGAGTTTTCGGGCCGTTCCTTAGATCTGTGTCGTGGAACCTGCTTGTGGCCTGGGCCCGCCGCTGCCAGACACGCCTCGTCGTTCCTTGCGATGCGCTCCTTGTCACGATGGCTGTACTTGCGAGGCGCTGAGTAACACCAAGTGATAGGCAACCGACAGGCGGAGGTTCCAGGAACTTCAACGCGAGAGACCACGTGATGGAACCAATCCAGCGCCAATTGGCGTCTGTTCGCGCGGCTGCTCGTGAGCAGGGGAGGGCCGCAGAGGAGGCCCGTTGAGCAAGGGCCGACGGGGAGTTGGCGGGGAACGAGGGAAGGGTTCAAACGACCTTCGCATCGCGGCCGCGAGAGGACGCCTGGGGGCCTCTGCAACCCGACCTGGCGGGCGAGCGACTCGAGGAGCGGACCCTTGGGGAGAAGACCTCTTTCATGTCACGTGTTAGTCCTCCTCCATCCCCTCTTTTCTTCTCGCCCTCTTCCTGCGCCGTCCAGCCGCCCTCCATGAGGAGGATCGCGGTTCGAGTATCGACGATCGAGGATTGTAGATCGAGGTTCCAGAGTTTCGAAAACAACATCGGCGTACACGTACATTATCGGAACTTCATGCGTTGTTTTGCATCTACGTTTGGGGACGTCTCGCGGCATTTCCAGCGCCGAACCAGGACACCCGCGCGGACATCCGACGTTTGTGGTTCAATTTGAGTTTCTGGATAATGTCGAGACGTGTCTGGTCTTTGGGAGAGGTTTCTCGTCGCCACGGTTGGGCCCTCCTGAGAACCCCTGGCCACATCGAACCCTAAGAGTAGCACACGGGTCGTCGTCATCAGCCTCGTCGCCATCGTCGTCGGTTTGGAAGATGTTCATTTTATATAGTCAGTTATTGAAGTGATGACGGTGATGATCATGATAACGATGACGATGGTGATGGTGATGATGATGATGATGATGATGATGATGATGATGATGATGATGATGATGATGACGCTGTTGAGGTTGTTTTTGGTAATGTTGATGATACGGATGAGGATGTGAATGACGATCCAGATAAGGATGAGGATGAGGATTATGTTGATGATGATGCTGACGATATTGATGATGTATATGATGATGCAGCTGAGGATGAGGGTGAGGATGAGGATGAGGATACCGATGAGGAAGAGGGCCATTCTGATGCTCATGAGCATGATCATGCTCATGCTCGTGAGCATCAGTGTGGTGACGCTGATGCTGATAATGATGCTGGTGATGATGAGGATGAGGATGAGGAGTATGATGATGCTGATGATGCTGATGGGGATGAGGTTCAGGACGAGGATTAATATACCGATGATCTGTATACTGATGTTTATGATGAGGATGAGGATGAGGATGATAATGAGGATGGCAATGAAGATGAGGATGCGGATGAGGATGGCGATGATGCGGATGAGGTTGGCAATGATGATGCTGATGATGATTTTGCTGCTGGTGGTGATGCTGCTTATGAGTATGACCATGATCTCGGTCATGATTATGATGATCATGATGGCGACCATTCTGATGATGGTGGTGATGCTGGTGATGATGCTGATTAGGACGATGCGGAATGATGCTGATGAGGATACTGCTGAGGATGAGGATGAAACTGATGATGAGGATAAGGTTGAGGATGAAGATTCGGATGAGGATTGTGATGTTGCTGCTGATGATGATGATGATGATGATGATGAGGAGGAGGAGGAGGAGGAGGAGGATGGGGATGATGAGGATGCGGATGAGTATGAGGACAAGGACGAGGATCATGATGCGGATGGTGATGATGATGATGAGGATGTTGATGATGTTGATGATGACGATGATGGCAGTGATGATGATGATGATGATGATGATGATGATGATGATGATGATGATGATGATGATGATGATGATGATGATGCATGCTGATGAGCATGCTCATGATGACGAGAATGATCATGACCATAATCATCGGGCAGCCCCACATATTAACTACCCTGCAGTATGACAGCAAGTGTATTGTATACAATACGATATTCCCCAACGTAGATCACGCTGTACGACACTTCCAGCGATCGTGGCTAAATGGTAGGTGTATCGTGAAATTCACACATCAGGTATATCCATAGACACCTTCCACATGCACGACATGCCCTGTAGCTTAGTATCAAGTGGATTCTACATGTATTCCTGAATCTTTCGGTCTTGAGAAGCTACGGCAACACGTACCTACCCACATCCCTCCGTCGCCATCGGGTTCGTTGTTCAAGGCCATGTCTCGCAGAGAGGCTGTTGGCACCACCACCCAACCTCTGAGTGGGCCCTCCACAGTGCCGCCCCCGCCGCGTCTCCCACGAGCTTTGGAGGACACATTGGCGGCCAGACGCGAGCTGAGACGTGCTTCTGACCGGCTCCTACTGCCAGCACGCGTGAAGGATCTTGCTCGAGCGAAACCACTCAGTGCTGGTGCCTCGAGAGCAACATCGATTGCAACCACAACAGCCCCAGCCCCAGCGTGGACACGACTGGCAGCGGCGACCCCGACACTATTACCACCACCTGCTGCGCCTCAAGACGAAGATGCCACAGGACGTGGTGGACGAGGCGAAGGCGAAGGCTCTACCCCCCGCGAGGGCACCGTGGTGCCACCCCCTGAGATCCTCCCTCGCCTCGCGAGGATCTGGGCCAAGCTCGGGGAGAGCCGAGGGAACACCACCAGCGGCCAAGCCCAGGCTCACGGGCCTTCCACCGCCTCGCGGAGCAGTGGCAGCGGCCGAGGTGGGCGACGTGGCCATGGAGGGCGAGGGCGAGGAGGACGGCGACCGACGCAGGAAACCGAAGCGCCGAGGCGGGAGGAGAGCCCGCCAAGGCGAGCATCAGGTCAAGACGTGGAGCAGCAAGGGCAAAGACCTTCTGGCGCTGCTCCAGGCGACACTCAAACTCGTGCTGCTGACGGCACACAAGAACAGGCTCGCTTGTACCGTCTCGATACACACATACACGATGCCGACGAATCACGAGATGGTGATCAATATCACCGAGGAGCTCGAGGGGTACAACGGATTGCTTGTTTTTTTCGCACGCAGGGGGCCGAGGGCACGAAGAGGATGACAAATACCGGATCCCCCGCAGCCAGCTTAGCGCTGGCGGCTTTAGAGGGCCTGATGATGTGCGACATTGACAGCGCGGCGAAGAACGTCATCAATGTGTACTTGTTGAAATGCTGCCCAGTAGAGGCGGAGGCGGAGCCCGACATCGACAACGCCGACTTTGCGAGCGCCGTGAGTTTCATACGCTTAGCGAGCTGCTACGATTCGCAAAAGATGAGGGTCATAGTCGGCGCCTCCAGCTGGGAGGGGCCGTCTCTCATACAGAAGGCTTTGCGGGCCGATGGCGTCGCGATTCAAGCAAAGGGGTGGCACCAGCGGGCTGGTTCGAGGACGAAGTGGGCCGTTGGCTCGAGACGATCAGCCAGTGAACGAGACACCGATAAGATTTGTTAGTGGTGGGTTTCTGCCAGGCACGCGTGCCGCCCCTGCCTGCATTGCCTCACCCAGCTCGGAGTGAGGCGGGCAGCTCCTAGGGCATCTTGCCGGCCCTAAGCCTTTCTACGACGAATACGAGGCCGAAGATCTCGTGGCAGCTGAATTTTATGATTCAATTGCCCCCGCATGCCGCCAGACCTCGCTGCGCAAGCACCCTTGCAGGCACCATGCACCGAGCAACGCTCGAGAGTAACAGCTCTCTGCGGCGAGCCTTACGTATAGCAAGTTGACATGCACACTCAGATGCTTCTTCATTGGCTCGCCTGTCGCCGGGGAAAAATATGATGATGATGATGATGATGATGATGATGATGATGGCGATCATATTGGTGACGATGATGATGCTGCTGCTGGTTATGATGATGAAGCTGGTGGTGATTGTAACGACGCTGATGATGCTGCTGATGATGATGTTGGGGATGTTCATGATGATGAGGAGGATGAGGGTGTGGATGGTGCTGTTGCTGGTGATGGTGATGGTGCTGATGAGGATGGCACTGGCGCTGATGATGATGATGATGCTCATGATGGTGGCGATGGTGTGGCTGAGTCTGACAATGCTGGCGGTGATGGCGGTGCTGCTGATGCTAGTACTGATGATGTTGATGTTGTTGCTGGTGATGTGGCTGCTGATAATGCTGGTGATGGTGCTGCTGGCGATGGCGACGATGTTGTTGTTGATGGTGGTGATGGCGGTGTTGTGCATGATGCTTGCGATTAAGGTGATGCGTATGATCCATATGCGATTGGTGAGGATGCTGGTGGTGATGCTGTGAATGATGATGATTATTACCGTTGGTGTTCTGGTGACGACGACGAGGATGAGAATGGGGATGGCGATGCAGACGGGGATGATGATACACATAGGATGATTAGAATGGTTCCGAATGGGAAAAACTTATTATGATGATCGGATGCGGATGGGGATAAGGATGAGGATGTGGAATAGGATGATGATGGGGGCCAGGAAGAGGAGGAAGAGGGGGAGGAGGAGGAGCAACGCAAGTGCGCCAGCTGTCACCAGCGGACCCGCCCGCGTCGCACAGTTGGCACAGGAGAGTGGGGGTTCGGGGGGGAGAGGAGGGGACGGAAAACAGAAGGAGCAGCAGGAGGCGGAATCTGATTTGGAACAGTACGCGGGAGAGAAGGTGAAGGAGGAGGAGGAGGAGGAGGAAAAGGAGCAGGAGGAGGGGGAGAAGGAACATGACCTGGAAAAGTAGGAGAATGAGGAGGAGGAAGAGGAGGAGGAGGAGGAGGAGGAGGAGGAGGAGGATAAGGAGGAGGAGGAGGAGGAACAGGAGGAGGAAGAGGAGGAAGAGGAGGAGGAGGAGGAGGAGGAGGAGGGGAGGGGGAGGAAAGGGGGAGGATCGGTGTTCTAGGATCGTTGGTTTTCGATGTGGTTGGTGTGACTTTGGGGTGTCTTCTTGGGGCTCCAGGAAGCTTCTCGTCGGCACAGCGGGCCCCCTTTGAGTTCTGGTGAACACGCCCCCCGGTAGAGGCCTGGGGGGACGATGTCGAGGAACCTCCGGTGGGGAGGGGGAATAGGGAGGAGAGGAGGAGGAGGAGGAGGAGGAGGAGGAGGAGGAGGAGAGGGGAGGAGGAGGAGGAAGAGGAGAAGAGGAGGAATAGGAATAGGAATAGGAGGAGGAGGAGGAGGAGGAGGAGGAGGAGGAGGAGGAGGAGGAGGAGGAGGAGGAGGAGGAGGAGGAGGAGGAGGGAGGAGGAGGAGGAGGAGGAGGAGGGGGGGAGGAGGGAGGGGGAGGAGGGAGGGGGAGGAAAAGGAGGAATAGGAGGAGGAGGAGGAGGAGGAAGAGGAGGTGGTGGAGTGCGAGAAAGAGGGGGAGGGAAGAGGAGTGATTTTGGAGTGGTGGATCGAATGGCCCCTACTCGCAAGCCGGGGCAAGGTGGTACGGGGGCAGGGGGTATAATGGGCGCGCGGGTCATTTTACGACCAGAGCGGCATTGTACAACCGAGATGGGGCATTTACAACCAGCATGGATATTCCCAGAAGAAGGGAATTGTACAACCATCAGCGCTTTCTTACAATCAGGCAAGTAAACGCACATTAGCGACACACGCGCTGACACCTTCGACATATCCATTGGACGAAGTAAGTGATGTTTGTGCTATCTGAAGCGTGTTAGTTGTAAAGTGCCTTTCCTGAAGCAAGAAGAGCCTATGAAGTAGCGGATTCCTAATAACTTCAATCGGAGCCTTATTGGGGTCGTGTTGGTACACGTGCGACTGCGACCCGATTGGCATCAGACCAACCCAATGGAGTCCAATCGTTTTTCGTTGCTTTGAGGGAAGACATGGGGGACGGTGAGGGGGAGACGAATGAAGAGGAGGAGGAGGAAGGAGGAAAACGGAGGACATCGGAGGCGAACGGAACGGAAGCGGAGAGGAGACTGAGGCGGAGTGATGTGGGAGGAGGCGGAGGAGGAGGAAGGGGAGGAGGGGGAGCAGGAACAGGAGGAGGAGTCGGAGGAGGAGGAGGAGGAGAGAAAAGGGGGAGGATGACAGGGAAACGGAGGGAGAGGAGGAGGAAGAGAAGGAGGAGGAAGAGTGTAGTCCACTCGTGTTCGTTGCTCTGAGGGAGGGGATGAGTGACGGTGTGTGGGGGTAAATGGGGAGGAGGGGGAGGAGGAAATGGAGGAACAAGAGGAACGAGGAAAGGGGAGGACACCGGTGGCGAACGGAACGGAAGCGGAGAGGAGTCTCAGGCGGAGCGATGTGGGAGGAGGCGGAGGAGGCAGATGGGGAGGAGGACGAGGAGCAGGAGGAGGAGGAGGACGAGGAGTGAGAAGAGAAGGGGACAAGACAGAAAAGAAGGGGTGGGGGCCACCGGGGCCACCTAGCTGCCCAGTCGCACAGCAGTGACGGGCTGGGGGCCACTCGGCCCCCCAGTCGCACATGAAGGACGAATTCGTCGCCCACCAGATGGCGTTAATCTGAGAGGTCGCGGGGCGGTGGACCTTGCCTCGCAATGGCCACGCCTTTTCAGAGACATTGGACCGATACTGGGCGGCCTGAAGGGAAGAGGACGAGGAGGAGGAGGAGGAAGAAGAGGAGGAGGAAGAGGGAAATGATGAAGACGATGAAGACAAGGAGGGGGGGAGGAGGATGAGGACGAGGAGGATGATGAGGCGGAGGAGGAGTATGAGAGGGGAGAGCAAGGTACAGGGAATGTTGAGTAGACATGGGGCCACGGGGGATGAATCAACACAGCGGGGGCGCGGATGACGGAACACGGCATGGCTATGGCAACCAACAGAAACAACCAGTTTGAACCACATCAACAAACGCGCATAGGAACCGCCCGTAGGAATGACCGTCGCACGGAAGCAATGCACCATGCCAGGCCGCGGCGAGCAGGACCCAATTGCAACGCGCCCGAATGACGTGGACCGCGCTTGACCCGAACCGAACGTCTCAAATCCGAACCAAAAGCAACACATCCGAACCACACGCAACACGCCTGAACCAAACGCAACAAAGCCGAACCGCACGCAACGCACCCAAATCAAGCCGACCGTGACAAATCCGAACCGCACGCAGCGCACTCGAACTAAGCGCAACGCATTCTAACTAAACCGAACGCGACGCGCTCGAACCAACGCAACAAACTCGATGAAAGCGATGCTCACGGTCCACCCTCTTGTGGCACATGTGGCACCAATCTTCGTCCTCTTCCCCATCCACATCATCATTACTACCATCCACTTCACCATCGCCGCCATCACCATCGCCACCGCCATCACCAGCGTCAACGCCGACGCCATCACCGTCATCACCAGTTGCAACAACACCGTAATCATAAGCAGTACGCATCTTCACCATCATCATCATCATGGTCATACTCCCACCACCATCATCGCCATCACCATCGCCACCATCATATCCACCCCGTCGTCATCATTGCCGTAATATATTTTCTGCTCTATCACTCTCCCAGTCACGAAGCCCCGCCACTCCTTAATTTTGATTTCGCGGCGAATTACGGGGCGAGGTGGGGCAAGGTAAACATTTGCTGTGACCCGGACGCGTCGCGCACTGCGCTTCGATGTCAGTTGCCCCGCTAGGGCGCGGCGAAACATCGCTGCGAGCGGCAAGCGCGGATAATCGCTGGACCCGGGCAGCGCGATGGGCGGGCGAGGAACAATTAAAGGTCTGAGAATTTGAGGACTGCGCCAGCAACGATATGATTCCGCGGCCACCGAGACGGGAGAGAAACCGCCAATCACATCGGGCGCACCATGCGTAAGAACTCGCCATTGGCGAGGTCAGGCCGACCCGGGTGGGCCCCAGACCCGACACGCAGCAAGCAAGAACGCTCTTTGTTGTTTCACGACTCCCGAATGCTAGGGTCGCACGTCCTGCGTACAAGCAAGGCGCCGCGCACCTTTGCTTGCAAGGGACAGCAAGCGTGGGGCGCGCTTGACGTGACGCCCCCCCCCCCCCCCCGCCCCCCCCCTCTGGAGCAAGAGGGGCTGCGCGAGGAGCGGGGCATTTTTTGAGGTTTTCGTTTGGGGGGGTGGCGCGAGCAAGACGATGGCGAGGAGCCT